AGAAAATATGCTTGAGAGAACTATCCCCTTTAAGGCTCCACAATGTTCGAGTTTGGATTAGTCGAGGTTGTCGGTTTTAGATACTGAATGGTTATTAAAAAAAATTAAGCTCCAACAAAGCAAAACCTCTTATTTTGCTTTTTTTTAACGCAATAATTCATATTTTTGATTAATATATCCAATAAAAAAATGTCCTATCCATAAATAAAATCAGAAATATGACATGCTTTCAAGCTAAAAAAATATTTATAGATGCATTTATATATTGTTCACTAATAAAATCATCATATCAATAGTAAAATTTAATTCTACAACTTTATATATCATAAGTCACATTTTTTTTAACTAGACTAACATTTGCTAGCATCTTGATAAATTATAAGCAATGAAATGAACTCACTTTTGTACGCTCTACAAAAATTGAGACTCGCCATTTAGTTAATAAAAGAAAATGCAAAGCCTGGCACAATCCAAATGTTCAAAATTGTGTTGCTGAAAAGATAATACTAAAAAAAAAGTCTTTTTCCTATACAATAAGAAATTTTCTTTTAATTCAGATCCAACTGTTTTGTAAGTCTACATTGAGCTAAAAAATAAAATATAAGGATGAGATCCAAGGTGGAGGGAGTGCGGATTCGCCTTCAACTTGGCGTGACCACACACAGCTTTTTCGAATCTGCCTCACGCCCTCCCCATTCTCCTACTCCTCGGAGCATGCTTTGTGTGTGACGTCATCTGAATCGCCCCAACGCCCAACTTCAGTCAAATCTTTCTATGCCTCCCCCCTCAACCTACCATTTCCCGACACGTACCCTCCCCATCTTAATTACTAAACTACCCTCTTCTGTCACATCACCCCACTCCTCTCCTCACCTCCCTGGTTTTCCGTCACCTCCCCGTTAACGTGTTTTCCGTAATCGTCTAAGTGCCTTTTTGTCATCATAACTGCAGCTTCCTTGGCTTCTCCACCCCTGCGCTCGTCTCCACCGATTCTTATTTGCCCGATCCCTCCCACGTGACAGGCTGCCCCCTTGGTCACGTGACATCATCCTCGCCTTCCGTGTCCGTGACGCAAACTTGACTCTGCCCTATTTCACGTAAATACAATCCATGCGCTATATCTCCCACCCGGACCTCCCAACCTGTGCTGCGATATTTCATCCGTTCTCTCTTGCAGTGCCAGGGCCAGGAAGCTGAGAGGCTAATCAGTAACCATTTTTAACGGTGACGGTGGGGAACTCTTTAGTCGTTCAATGCCAGAGACTCCAACTGTGCCCAAGAACTATACGTATCAGAGCTCTTAATAACCCATCTTGCCAATTCCCTGCTTTAATGATAACGCAGTGTTGTGTTAATGTGACACGTTTCAGTTTTGCTGTGATCTGCTCCACGGCCTAACAATGATTGAAATAACACCTTTTGAGTTCTATATTATTGCCCGCCTTGAAGCTACGTACTGCCGTGTTAATTGTATCAGTTCCGTGTGTGTATGTGAGAGAGAGAGTCAAAAGCGTGGTAAATTAGTAGTTTCTGGAAAGCTTACGCATTTGCAAACTGTCTCGACTGTACGTGCAGTGCAAAAGTTTCAAATTGTTGCATTGATTTAGGCAAAGAGAGAAACACATCATAGCTTAATTATAGATAAAATGAATTTTGTCAGTTCCTGCTGTCTTCGAAGCCTTTTTTGTGCTGACGAGATCTGAGATTCTTGTCGAGTAACTTTTCCCTTACATCGTAACTTAAGAATATATAAACGGGAAAAAAAAAAAAAACTTGTCTGTAATAGTTTAATCTGTCTGTGTTTATTGGTTACAACGTAACATACGTAGCCTTTTATCTTCAAGAAATATTTAAACACGAACATCCGGTCCATTTCTGTACACATACACATATATTATTTTCGTGATCGACGGTGGTTTATGTTGTGCATGTTCCGTAGGTTTTGTGATGTCTCGTTCTGATTATAGACAGTTAAATGATGAATGAGCGTATGGCTAACATGTTATGCTGCTGCTCGTGCTCACATGAATGCGCGCGTGTTGCTAATATATACTACAATATAATAAACTTCTATTTAGCTTCTAGCTCGTTGAAATATATACATACATACATATATATATATATATATATATATTTGGCCAAAAAAAATGAAAAAAATATATCCTCGCCTGCACGTATAGCACCCAATGGTCAATGTGAATACGCTTTAGACGCTTGAAAAATGCGTCTTCTCATCGTTCTTTCCTCTCTTTGATGACTCGACCCAGTTATTAATGTTCAAATCTAAACGCGTTTGTCTTGTTCAGATACACACCCACATATATATACACAATATCGGTCCCCATGATTACAAAATTATATGAGAAGATACAACATGCTATACGTATGTATATATCTAGGTTGAATACAAGTCGACTTTAATCTTTTCTTCTAAAAGGATCACGTGTTAACCATTAGCTGTGTCCTCAGGGATCGTTCAAAAGTATTTTGGGAGATTTACAATATTTTGGCGGCAGTCTCTCTAATTTGGTAGAAAATAAAGGATCGGTAAAGGTAATGGATCTTTGGTCGTGACAATTATTTAACCACGTCAAATTTAGATTTTTCAATAGCAAATTATTTTTTACACTTGTCACTGTTGTTACGTACTCCTGTCCCTCTCAGTTCTTAATAATTTTTAATTTTACGTACTGTTTATTTCTTATAATTTGAAATACATTTCTTCTATACAATAATTCATTATGATCGTTAATGATGAAATTAGAAGGTTATATAATTATCATTTCAAGTTTGAAATTGAATAATTTTGTTTTATAATCAAGGACCGGAGGAAGTATTGCTATTAGTAGGACCATCTACAAATTAAAGCGCTACTCTACTCCTTTCGCGCTCAATTGTAAGGTAAAATTAATTAATTTCATAGTTCTTAAAAACTAATAGTAACTAATATCTGTAAACTTAATTATAAAAAGCTTGACTTTTTAATTACCTTTTATTAAAAGTAATCACCAAAATAAAATTTGTAGCTACACCTTGATGCAATTATATATGAAGAGACAGCATTAACTGGGGGAAAAAGCCGCTACTTTATTAATGACTTTCTAATTTTCAATCACGGTGCATGTGTGAATTGTGATAAGGAAGCAGCAATGAACGAGACCAAGGATGTACCCACAAACTACAGGCTTACTAGTTTTTTTCCACTACACCATTTTCCTTTCACTGCAAACCAAAACTGTTTAGATTACATTTTAACTATACAGATTAATCTATACTTTTTAAAACTATTAAATCTAAATAATCTAATTCAATTTAAAAGTCCAAATCTTTAGTGAAGTGAAGCCACATACTGCAGTGGGGTAATTGCCCCTACAACTTAAGGAAAAAATATATAAGACGATCCAAATAATTTTAGCTGTGAAATTTAACTTCCCACATCATTTCGAAAACGTTCAATTGTTTTCGCTAATAAAATTTCAATTATCCCATTTAAAAATTGAAACCTAACATTTTATCTATGTATACCAAAACCTTAAATAACAATAGTTTTAGGATGAAAAAATTAATAATATAAAAAAAGGATTCATGAAACTTTTTTTATCGCAAAAAATTCTCTGTCGGTGCATAGTTTTTATTTAATGAACATAAAAAACATGACTCTCATCTCACGGACAAAAAAAGTTACATTGTTTTTTTATTATAATTTTAAAGTTTGTTACATTGTTTTTTAACATTTATTTCTATTAAATTGTGCCTTTAATATAATTTAATAGCTATTTAAATTATTTTTAAAATAATATTGATATTTATTTTAAGTATAAATTTTGCCCCACTAACTCATTTCTGTATTTATAAATTATGAATTGAGGTGAAATTTTATTTTTATTTAAGCATTTTTGTTCATTTTGTTAATTTTTAATAAAATATAAAATATTCTCTTTCTTTCTTAAAAAAATGAAAACTTCACAGAAATTTATCAATTTCAATATCAGAGGATTTAAATCCCTCGTTTTTCTATGTCCATTACTAAATGAACGAATATATAATCAGACTTGGCTTCTCTCATCCCACCTCTTATTTAATCTGGATCATCAAATTTGATCTACACAATTCAAATTAAATATATTTATTTTTTTAATTTATAAAAAATTATAAAATTTTTAATAAATATGTTTCATTACTAATTTAGGTAGTATGGGTTTAATATATATAGTCCAAAATTAACATTATTTTTTTATAATTTTTATAAATTAATTATTTAAATATTTAATTTAAACATAAATTATCCAGATTGATGATAATATTTAATAAATTTTTTATCTTTATAAATTGACTGTTCACATGAACCGTACTAATTTAATATTAAAATTATAAAATATTGTAATATTAAATTTGGGCTATTCAAGTTGCTAACTAAATTTACTCAAAAATGTTATAATTTTTTATTTTAATAAATATAAAATAAGAATGTTTAACCTAGATGGTACCCATTGAACAGGAGGAGGGAAGCCAAGTCCGTATGTAATCATCAGACGCTTGTGGAGCGGAGAAGCCATTCACGTCGTTTTCCCCCATGCAAAGAGTTTATATATATATATATATATATATATATATTATATTTCACACGCCCCCGTGTGCGTCTGAGTAGTGCGTAACTGCTTCATCAGCTCCCTCTCTAGTCTCCACTCAGCTTAATCCAATTTACGTGGATCCCGTAGCTTCATCGAACTTGATTCCCAGATCCTTTCTTATTTTTCGGTTACTATAAATAAAACTACCCAGCAAGCCTCAAATTTGAGTTGTGACTTGATATCCATAAACTTATCTATTTCATTAATCAATCGACGAATTTTTCTCTCCTACAATTGCGAACTTAGATGAGAGTCGTCGCTTTCTATTTTAAACCCAAATCAAGTTCAAATCACACCAACGAAAAACCAGAACACATTATCTATATAAACGGCACTGAGACAGCTAAAACCCAAGGCATAAGCACACAGAACACTCGGTCTTGAGAATCTGGAACACGCTGCGATTTGTTGGTGTTTATTACATAAACACTAACACTCTCTCTCAAAGTCTGTCGCTTTGCTGGCTTTCTCTTGCATCTAATAGGCACTGTTCTCATTTCACAGTACCCAAACCACTCTCCATCAATCTTTTACCTTCTGGGATTTTCCATAGCGTCGTAAGAAACTGAGACAGAAAAAAGTCACTCTCTTTTCTTTCGGCTGGGTCATTCTTTTTCGAAAAAGCAACTCGCTTTTTTTTTTTTTTAACCTGTGTGGCAAGCTAGCTTTATCGGGATTTAATTTCTTACATGGCTTCTTGCAAATCACAAGTGGAAGCAACCGAGTGTGTGTGGGTTCAGGGGCCTATCATTGTAGGTGCTGGACCCTCTGGTTTAGCCGTCGCTGCTTGCCTCTCTGAACAGTACCGGGCACCTTCCCTTGTTCTTGAGAGGTGCGACTGCATTGCTTCTCTCTGGAAGACCAAAACCTACGATCGTCTCAAGCTTCATCTTCCAAAACAATTCTGCGAGCTTCCTTTAATGGGTTTTCCCGCCAATTATCCCAAGTATCCTAACAAGTATCAGTTCATCTCCTACTTGGATTCCTACGCTTCACGCTTCTCAATTCGCCCCAAGTTCAACCAATCCGTCCACGAAGCTCGGTTCGACCCTGCCTCGGGGCTCTGGATCGTCCGGACTCAGGATCTCGTCTACGTTTCTCGGTGGCTCGTTGTGGCCACCGGCGAGAATGCTGAGCCCTTTATTCCTAAAATCGTCGGGATTGAGAATTTTCATGGACCAATTGTTCACACCACCGGTTACAGGTCTGGCACTGATTATAAGAACAAGAAGGTTCTGGTCATAGGTTGTGGCAATTCTGGTATGGAAGTTAGCTTGGATCTCTGCAACCACAATGCAAGACCTTACTTGGTTGTTAGAAACACTGTGAGTTTCTTCTCCGTTTTGCTTTCTTTGAACCTCAAAATCGGTGTTCATCTTTTTTTCCAATTCGGTCAAGTCATCATGAAGTTAAAAAGCGTGTCCTTTTTGCTCACATTCGCATAATTTTATGTTTGAGACGTGCAGGTCCATGTTCTCCCTCGAGAAATGTTTGGATTCTCAACGTTCGGACTAGCCATGACCCTAATTAAATGGCTTCCGTTAACAATAGTAGACAAGATCCTCATACTTTTGGCTTATTTCATCATCGGAAACACCGATCACTACGGTATCCGGCGACCGAAGACCGGCCCAATGGAGCTTAAATGCGCCGCCGGAAAATCCCCAGTTCTTGACGTCGGCGCCCTGGAAGAGATCAAAGCGGGAAAAATCAAGGTGTGTGTGTGTGTACTTATAGTCTTATTGTAAGCTAGCATGCTCTGAGATATTATATTTGAGCTGATCATTGAGATTTCTGTGGGTTTCAGGTGGTGGATGGTGTGAAGGAGATAACCAGAAATGGTGCCAAAATGGTGAATGGACAGGAGAAGGAGTTCGATGCTATAATATTGGCAACGGGATACAGAAGTAACGTGCCTAGTTGGCTCAAGGTAACAATTTTAACCTCTTCTTTGCTACGTTTTTAGCTTTGTCTTATTGTCAAACACTCATGACACTTCATTTTCTAGAGTTTGGATGCATGCAGATCCACCACCACCATATATACCTACAAATGTCTTCTTTTCTGCACGCAAAAGAGAGAGAATATAACCAGTTTACCTTATTTGTTCCTTTCATGATTTTTTTTTGTACCTCCTAAAAATGCTTTCTTAAATTCAAACTTTGCATGTATTCCTTTGCGTCGCACCAACGTTTTTATGATGATGAGTAACAGTCATTGGATATCGTGTTCACGGCTGTTAAAATCACATCCAGCTGCAAGGTGTCGTTTATTTTTCTTCTGTTTTCTGAACTGACTCATCCTTCGGTCAATTCCCTCTGATCCTTTTGATTCTTGCTTTCTTGTCTGATACTGATATTGTCACTAAAATCCAAAGTTTGCACGTCACCGTTGCCAAAAAAAAAAAATTCCAGGTAAACCAGTGGAGTCCTCCTTAAAAAGCATATACCTCTGTTGGTCTATCAACTCCATCAATATTAATATAATAAAAATATAAAAATAAAAATAAATATAATTTTAAAGTAAAAAATAAATAAATAATATAATTTTTTTTTCTTTTTTTTACCTTGTAAGATAGCTTGAAAATTTTAATTTAAAACAAAACAATTTTATTAGTTAGTAACTTATAAAATTGACTTAATTATACTTTTAGAATGTGATTAATATACAGTAACGAAGTAGCAGCGTATAAATAAATGTATCTTCAATGTTTATGGTTTAAACTGAGTGTTTGGGGTTGTGCATGTGACATGCAGAGCCGTGAATTCTTCACCTCGGACGGGATGCCAAAAACGCCGTTTCCAAGCGGATGGAAGGGAGGGAACGGATTGTATGCGGCAGGGTTCTCGAGAAGAGGGATACTCGGAGCCGCCTCGGATGCTGTGAATATCGCGAGAGACATCGCCGATCAGTGGAGGAATGTTAAGGACCATAAGAGTTACCGTGAACCACAGATTATCCTAGCCGATAGTCCCTAAACGTTGACTATTTTTTTCTGACCAATCGTAACCTTGATCAGCGATCCCAGTTTTGTTTTTTTTTTCCACCTTTTTAAATTTTTCTGGCGAGAACATGATCCGATTTTTTTTGGACACCAACTGTGTAAAGGAATAAGAGCCACTACGATTTTTTTTGGACACCAACGATTTTTTCTGGAATAAATAAACTGTAAGCACAATTTTTTTAGTGCATCTATCAATCTTAGGCTTTTAATTTAACTCTTAACAAGTTCTCTTTTAAGTTTTAAAGCTTCATTAATATGCTTGGCTCACAGGCAAAATAAAAAAGGCTTCGCAAAAGAAACGGGTACTGGATCAATCTCGACATGAATGTTAAGAAATTAATAATACACACTCTAGCTAAAATATAAATATGATCAGAGTCGAAATTTCTCTTAACTCAAATCTATTCTTATATAACAAGTTTATCAAACAACGGTCCCACAACTCGAATATTTTTCAGACATTCTAATAAGTTTACTTTAAAAAAGAGACAAAATTGACAATGGAATAAAAATTAAAATAATAATGCCCAAATCAAAAGCCATTTCCTTCAAGCAGTTGCATTGGGCGTTCGTGCTTACAGCTTCCGTCGAGCAAATGTTGCAGTAAAGAGGAATCTCCGAACTGGCCAACTGAAAAGCTTCGAGCCCCAACTTGTTTAGGAGAAACGTGAGTGCGAAGGCAAACTATATATATATACATTGACATTTGAGATGGCGACTTTAACTAGGTGATATATCTGGCGCGGTCATAGAATGCTTCATTGCTCTCAAGTCTCTGCGTGTCAATGAATGTGAGTGAAATCAGCATAGTATCGATTGGGTTCTTTTCTTTTCTTTTGGGGTTAAAGTCGTGAGAGGAGGCAACGTACGTAATGCTGCGAGGGCGTGACTGTGATATAATTGAGACTATGATAGGGTGGTGTCACTGATCTCTTGCACAGAGACGTTTGTACGAACTCATCAGACCTCTCGATTGACATCTTCCCCCCCCCCCTCTCTCTCTCCTGTGCCGCCGCACGTAAAGACAATGGATAGAGTCTGCAGCGAGGGGAGCGTGAAAACAGAAACTTGAGATGGTTCCTATGTGCATGAGAGGGAAAGTCCAGCGAGTGAGTTAAATCCTCATTTTCATGCCTTCCTTGTCCACACACGCTATGCCATGCACGCCTTCACTTCTCTCTCTCCCCCCCCCCTCCTTCACTTACGTCACCACTCTCTCTCTCTCTCTCTCATCTGATCGAACTGACCACTGAGACTGGCCCCTTTCCTTTTCGTGGATAGTAATATGACTTGAGGCAGATCGCAATATTGCATGCTTTCCTTCCTCACTGTGTCTTGCTTTCGTTCCGCATTATTCCATTCACTTCTCTCTCGCAAGGACGACGCCGACGGATGATCCACACGCGCCGCTCAAGCACGGTGGTGTTGGCATTACATGGCGTGAGAAATTATGCTGCAGTGCATGCATGCATGTGATGTGGGTTGGCACGGGCATGGGAGCGAGGCATGTACGAATTCATGATACTATTTGTTAGGTTGGGTGGGATTGAGTTTTTGCATAGTGGCGTGTGTACTACAGTACTACGGTGTGTGGAAGTAAAAAGCTTTGTTTTGTGGGACTGTTGTGTGACCGCGTGATGATGATGTGTAAAACAGAATTTGGGAAATCTTCCCCGATCAGGAATTCCTCTTGATCTCTGGGGCCCACCCCATCCTTCTATCTTACTGCTCTCATGCTTTTCTAGCTGCTTTGCCCCAGCATACCTACATTTATTCATTTTACAACATTTGAATTTTGAGATGAATTTTTTTTAAAAAAAATACTGTGCATTATTAGTGAGTGCTATTTTAATTTAATATCTTACATTATAATGGCAGAATTTTAGTTAAGGGCACTGTAAAGGCTATATTTTAAGTGAGTCCAAATTTTTTTAAAAATTTTACTTCAATCAAATAGAGAAAAGTTAAGAGAATTTTAATTGTTAAAAAAATTAAAATATACTTGAATTATTATACAGGATCATTAGTTATTAATTTTTTACTACACTTATTAATTTATTAATATTACTTGTAAATTATTGACATTAGTTGTTAATTTATTAATATTAGTAACATTAATTATTAATTTACTAACTTTACTTATTAATTTACTAATATTAGTTATAAATTATAAAACTTATCGAGTGATTAACAATTGATATTAATAAATTATAATACTAATTTATAATTAATGTTAATAAATTAATAAGTAAAGTTAGGGATAACTATATCAAGTTTTATATAACTATTGATATATCAACTCATATAATTTTTTATTATAATTGTCTTACTATTTACATTTAATTTCCAACTCTTGAAATTTTCATTTAACGTGGATAATCTTAATTTACAATGCTTAGTCATGGTACATTTTTTAGTTCAAAGATAATAATTCGTATGATTTTCATATATTGTACGGAGTCAAAAAGATAGTCCCACTAAATTATGACTCGAATAGATCTTGTTGGAGATTTTTCATTTTTCTCTGGGCAAATTAATATTTTTATCTTCTTTCCCCCATTAGCTCGAGGCCTCTTAGCAGGCCAACAAAATCGTATATGTATCCATTTATGGGCTTCAACTCGGAAGCCCATTTTCTCATGTCCATGGTTGCAGAATAATCAAAGCAACCCCCAAAATTGTTACCTTGGCTGTGACACAACCCATCCACGTATATTGGGGAGAAATTCTGTTTTTCTGTCCTTGTTTTTAATCCGACAAAATCGTTGACGGTGACATCAGATATATGTGTTTTGTTTTTAACCTCTGCTGACCTTCACTCTCTAAATTTTACATCATGTTGCTGAGACAAGAAAAGTTTAAATAACTATTATATTATATCAATGTGAAAGCTTGTGTTCGTGTTTGTAGTCTAACTTTTTATGTTGATGATGGGGCCAGTTGTAATGTTTCTAAGTTGAGATCTCTCCCTTCTCTCTCTTTTTGATTGGAGAACAACCACAGCAAGAAGAAAAAACAAGGCCAACAAGGGAGTAACGTTTCTGAGTTAGGATATATATATATATATATATATATATATATTTTAACTGAGCACGAACGTGATTCTATTTCAATGATATTAGATATAAACACTTCTCTCATTGTAAATTAAGTTGAGATCTTTCATTAATGAATGAGTCATGTCCTGCATGCTACATTCATTACTGTTCTTTTACCACAAACCTTTGAAAATGGATCAAGGTTAATTGAAGGTTGGCACGGGCTCCAAGGCACGCAAAATAAGCCAATAAATAAAAAACAATAACACGAATATTTTGATATCAAAATTATAAGTAATGAGATTAATTGTAAATTATAAAGGAAAAATTACAGTTATGTCTCATATAAAATAATTTATTATCAAGAGATTCCATAAATTTTATAAAATACTTTTAAAATTCAAATCCTATACATTCACAATTTGACAAAGGGCTTGCAACTGGACAATAGACATCATATGTTAAAACCATTTTTTTATGGTCCAATATTTGAGATGATAACTTTCATCCATTTGGAAAGTTATAACTCCATCGATGTTACTTATCAAATAAAAAACTTGTTTGAAAAGACTAGCTAATTCTTTAAAAAGAATTAATTTAAATCCTGTAATTGTTTCTGCTAGACTAATTGGTGACCACCTTGTCTCACCACCCTAAGAGTCCATTCATTTAATAATGATTTTTCATAAATAGGATATATTACCCTTATACCCATCCATAAAAAGATATATTACCTATGAGTATTTTTTTAAAAAAAGACTTATTCCTTTCTCATCCATTTGATTGTGTGCTTGATACGAGCACAACAATTTTTTTAATTTGCACGCAGCATTCTATTATATTCATTCATACCTTGCCATCTTTGATACGGATACACTACCAAGCTTTTAGTTGACATTTCTCATAGACTACTCGAAGAAAAAAAAAACTCACACTTTCATCCACCTTTCGAAGACCTGTAAGCTTAAAAATTGGAAAAATCTCACTTAAGGCTGCCATAATATAGAATTTTACATTTAGAGTCTAATACAATCTGAAAACTCTCTGTAAGTCTAATGGCCTTGAGTGAAAACATGTTTTAACAAAAAAAAAGAAGACACATTTGCCTTTGATATTTTGTTTCCAATTACAGAACATTTTGTTGAGAATTTATAGAAATATATGTATTTATGGATATTCTATTTTTCTTTCATCTTGCACAACTTGTACATTTTAAGTTAAATCATTTTCACTATACCCATTTTACATTGTAGGACATTGTGTTGAGATTTTATAGATATTGTGTTGTATATTTATGCACATTTGTTGTTTTTTCATCCTTTAAAATAAAACTAAGGTATGGGATAATGGATATCTAGAATATCAAAAACTCACATTTATTTATTCTTGAACTTAATATTTCACTCATATTTAATTTTTTATAGTACGGATGTATTAGTTTGCTGGAGACAGTCTTGTTTAAGACACAATTAGGTACTATATGTGAGCATCTTTTCCATAAAAAATTAGAATCATAACTTGTCATGTTGTGAAAATTTAACTTGTTTTGCTAAACTCAGCCTCTACTTATCATATTTTAAAGATTGCATATGCACATGGGCATGACATGTCGGCACTAAGCATTGGCCAGGTTTGGTGAATTATCAATCTTCATTAAAATAATTGAATGTTGACTATTAAATTTTAATGATAGATTTGGACATATTTCAAAAGATGATATCCTTTATAAATTCAATAAGCGTTCATATACCATTGTTAACTTAAGTATATCAAAAGTTGTTTGAAAAGAGTTTTTAAATATTTTTTATATTTTAACCATATTTTATAAGCATTGTGTTTGAGTTAAAATATAAAACGTCGTTCAAATAGGTCACAAAACTAGTTAGATTAAGTAACCAAAGTGTCAAGCCTAATATAAACAAAAAGAGCTGGCCCCAATGCTCGATAAAAGCCACAATAAGTAAACATGTCAAAATCCCGTTAGTTGCAAACATTATACCGTTGGCATGAAAAACATAATCTCAATTAATGTTAAAATCTATGGACTTCACGCCCAAGTATCTCGATGAAATGGGCTAATTATAAAAATAAATAG